AACACTGGGTCAAAGGTGTCTTGTAGACGATATCGGCCCCCGTCGCGGTTCAATGTAGGGTGATGGGCCCTGATGTAAATGGCTTCCTTCACCCCTCTCAAGAAATAGTCTTGTTCAGTGTCAAGAAGCCACGTGACAAGCTTCACTGGGTCAGTCTACTGAGGAAGACCAGAGTGACTGGTCGAACGCTCTAGGTGAGAGAATTTTTTTGTGTTGGACCAAAAGTTTTAACTTTAAACATGTAATTACCAACACAGATGAACTTTCATGATAGGTTATGGTCTGGTCTTGGCGCGAAACTCAACTCCGTCACAACCACCGGTCTGCTCCTTCTGGGGGAGGCGATAACGTTCTGCGATCACGTCACACTGTTCGGTTTCTACCCGTTCAACAAGGACCGCCAGAACCACACGATTCCCTACCACTACTGGAGAGACTTCACAACACTTCCCTCCAAAACACCTCACAAATTTGTGACTGAGTATAAGCTACTTGAAGAATTAGACAAGGAGGGGATTATAAATCACACAGTGGACTGTAATGCCATGCATTGAAGGGACCACAGAACATATGGAAAATGAACAAGACGGCTTTTTTCAGACGTATTTAAGCATACCTTAAAGCATGCGTAAAGGTTTCGTCTTTTTTAGGCGATTAAAACCTTTTAATATACATATCATATACAGTTATGTTTACCGAAGGAAAACATATTGTTTTTGCTACGCTTCTTCTTCTTCCGTTCCAAACACTAACCTCTGACCTGGCCAATGACATGACTTGTTGATGCCTGTCACCGTGGTAACTGGTGTTGGGTTACATAATGTTGCAATTTAGTAGGAGGGATTTAGACTCCTGACTGACCTTATACGTATATGAATGTATTTGAGTAAGAATTAACAGAGCAGATCATATGCTTCGCAAATATTACCTTTCTAGTTTCTTTTACTTTCTTCTATATGCATACTTTAAGGCGTGTGAAAGTCAGTTAGTTATAGAAACATTGTACACAGGATATTAAGTGCTAGATTAGAAAAGATATAACTAATAGACCTTGGCAAATCAGGGAACATTGAAACTTTATTAGAAACTTGTTGTGGCGTAAAACATGGGTAAATGGATATACATTCTTGAACATGTACAGCAACGTATTTACTGGAGACCATATTTAAAAAAAAAAAACAAGTGAAATTAGAAATGGATAAGAGTCAGCCACATACAGCAGTCAATATAAAGGAGATCGTGTTAATAAACCTCATGAAGTGAGGGATCCCTCAGTTAGAGGGATCCTGGGCCCCACTAAAGGGTTTGGGTTGGCGTTAGGAAGAGCATCCAGCCGTAAAAATCTTGCTTAAAAAAAGACTTGTACCTGGTGCAAGCACGTCTAACCCCCGGTTGGGGAAAAACGACGTTAAATTCTGTTTAAAAAATTGACTGGTACATATGACGCAACAGGCAATCACTTTGTTCTGTAATGTAAACATCTGAAAAAACGTCTTTGTTTGACTTCGAAAATTCGAGGACAATAATATAAGTTGCAACAATATAAGTTGCAACTAGTCCTGTCTATGTCAATGGCAACAAAAAGAACTTTTTTAATTTTTTTTTGTTTGGTAAGAAAAACAAACATTTTAGCTTTAAAACAAAACTAAGATTCCCTGGCTACTCTGTTTATCCTTAGCGTAATCAGAACTTATACGCTTCGACAAAAACAGGTTGATGGCGATGTTACAAAGTTCAACCTTGTTCATGTTTTCCCGGGATGTTGCGGTGGACCTTCTGGTTCACTTACAGTCCCGCCGCCCTTCTGGCTGCCACAATCATCGCCAGCCAGTTTCGGGCCTTGCGGCTCCCTTCCCATATTAATGTCGCCTGGTTCGTGCCTGGAACTGGCAACAGGATGGGGGTAAGTAGTGCCAGCACTGGGTGGATCGGGGGCGTCTGCGGGCGGGTGGACTGTCCGGTCTCCGAGTCGGCGCTGGGACGTGAAGCCTGCTTCTGACCGGCCTCGAATTTGGGGCGTGGGAGATCATCGGCCTTCTTCTGTCGGGGTGAGATGTTGTCTTTCACCTGCCTGGCCTCGGCGGTAGGGCGATCCTTTTGACCCTCGGTGTTCTTCGGCTGTTGCTGACGGAGAGTGGCCTTGGGGGCGTCTGTCTTCGCTGCGGTCTCTGTCTTGGGCTGAGACTTCTTCTTTGCCGGGGTCTGTAGCAAAAACCCGGACTTCATGCCGCCGAATGTTCCCTTCGGTTTGCCGGTGTTGGCCGTACCGGGAGCCCGCACAGAGGCGCTGGGTTTGTCGGGCTCTGCAGGTTTGTTGTTCGGCGTGTCCGCATGTTCGGTAGGCCCGTTCAGGTCACTACGCCGGGCTTTCTTCTTGACAGCCTCCTGAAGAGGCACATTGGGCGGCTCCACGAATGGAGGAATCTCAACTTCACATCTCTCGACTCCGATGGCGGCGTTCAACGCTGTGGTGGAGAAAAAAGAACCTTGTCAGAAACGGTCATACTTGTAGATCGAATCTTAGAACGTTGCCGAGTCTAGTTCTGTTGTTCGAGCGCGGCGGACAGAAACTGCTCTGAAGTAAACTTGCTCTCACCATTGCTAATGGAGCCCAAAATCCTGGCGGCGAGGCCGAACAGGAAAATAGTAGACACTATGATGAAGCTGAACATGGCGTCAATACGCACACAGCTGCAGGAACTCTGGAATCACGCAGAAATCAAGACGGGCGAAACAAACACACGTCCACTTCGCTTTCAGGGACTTCCAGAACTGAAGTACATTTGTGACGTCACAGAAAAAGTATCAAAGGACGTGACCTCACTGTGACGTTAAAATGACATGTACTTAAAATGACGTCACGGGACATAATAAACGTGTCTATGACGTAATTACCTACGCGAAGAAGGTTATGTTTTCAGAGGCGTTCGTGCATGTGTGTGTGTGTGTGTGTGTGTGTGTGTGTGTGTGTGTGTGTGTGTGTGTGCGTGTGTGTGTGTGCGTGTGTGCGTGTGTGTGTGTCCGTCTGTAGAAACGATAACTTGAGAAGGCTTGTGAAGAAATGGATTGTCTTGATACTTGGTAGGTGGGTAGGTCTCGATGAGACCGTATAGGTGGGTAGGACCTGGAAATGATTAGATTTTGGACCCCCTAGCGGCTTGTTATGGTACTGCAGCTGAACTTCCGGTTTTGATATTTCGTGATCTAGACATGCTGGGGTGACGAAATTTGGATGGTAGGTAGCTCTTGTGCTGGGGAAGACGCGGCGTAAGTTTACCACCTAGCGGCTTGCTCTGGAACTGCAGGGCTATATGTTTGAAAATATTCAAAAGAGGATAACTCAAGAACCGGTTGGTAGATCGTCTTGATTTTCGGTATGCAGGTAGCTTACATGATGCTTAATATAATTATGCGACAATTATGCAAATTTGGATGTAATTTGCATAATTAATTGGGAAATTCTATAAATCAGCTGCATTCCATCATAGGACTATTCAAGCTTGTGACATATGTAATTGAGAACGAGAGAAACACAGGCAGATATTGATCATGTAAATTAACATTTAATTTGCATAATTAATGAGAAAATGTTATAATTCCATAATGCTAAGTGCCTGGAATTTCATACTTGGGGTATTTGAAAGTTAAGTGAAGGTGAACATCATTAAACATAACTTAAACCAAGGATATCTTGTACAATGTCTCTGCTTAAACAAACATAGGCAGTTGCAAGCAATATTACCAAGAGCTATGACAGGGGAAACTTTAATGCTCAGGATTGTAGTATGCCGGTTGGGGGATTAAATGAATTTGATATTATCTGATAAGAATGTAAATGACGTATGTACGTACGGAACATGCATTTTTATGCACAAGTGTTAAATGAATTTTATAATTGAAAATTCCAAACGCCATGGCAATAAACGAGTTTTGGCCGCCGAGGAATGCGCCTTTCAGGGTAATTATAGAATTAATTTCTTTTAGGTAATTGTAGAACATTTGCAGAATCTCTCTTGAACTCTGACTTTCGTGAATGGCTGCCCCAAGTAAGGAAGAATATCTCTGGTAGAAGTACACGTTCTGCACATAAGATTGACACTCCATATTGCCGCACAGAACGGTACAAAAAATCGCCCATTCCCTACACTGTTGAGCTGTTAAACGCTAGTTAAATACAGTTCTTCCCTGCTTTTACTTAAGAGGGCATTGAGTGACTGAGTTCGGCTAGCATTGACCTTTACCTTTACTTGTGTAAATAGGCATTATTATAGCTCTCTACCGAATTTGTGTCATTATCTTGTAAATTGTGTAATTTTCAAACCATTAGTGTTGTTTAACGTCAATTTTATGAACTGTAAAAACAACTCAATTTAGACTGTCGTCTGCTAGTTGTTTGAATAAAGATTGATTGATTGATTGATTGATTGATTGATTGATTGATTGATTGATTGATTGATTGATTGATTGATTGATTGATTGATTGATTGATTGATTGATAATGTCCCTGCCTGATAAACGTCATAACGAATTCCTGTCACTTAATTGCAAATCTGTTGCCTCTGTTGTTGTCCTTGGGAACAAAAACAAAAAATATAAATGACGTATGTACGTAAGGAACATGCATTTTTGATGGTCATGTGTTGGTTGAATTTTATAATTGAAGATTCCAAACGCCATGGCAATGAACGAGTTTTGGGCGCCGAGGAATGCGCCTTTCATACTGTGTATGTTAGGATCCTGTCTGGTAAACGTCACCACGAATTCCTGTCACTTAATTGCACACCTGCCTGCATAGCCTGAGTTGTTATCCTTGGTAATCAAAAGAAATCACATTTAGTGACTTGTGGTTTGGCATTTTTTCCGGCACACACAAGTTGGACTGACAGCCCTCTTGTTAATGAGCAGTCTTTTGCTTCATTCTGGCTGCCGACTCCACCGCAGACGGCTGCCGCTCACTACATCCCCTGTCCGGCTGACATCTGTCCACATCCAAGTCAGCCATGTTCAACAACAGCTCTCTTTCATCGCCCGTGACCAGCGTGACACAAGAAGGTGACATCAACGGGCATCTTTCCTGCGTCCTGCGGCACTTACAGAACAAGTCATCCTACGACCAAGCCCAGGACGCCTGCTCCACGTACACGGACTTTGTGGAGTTAGGAACAGGACTTACTGTCGTCTTTTGGCTGACAGGACTTCATATCATCATTTCTAACGCTGCCGTACTTTGGGGAATCGTTAGAACACCTGAGCTCCACAAACAGGTCTACATGTTCATGGCAAACAATGCCGTTGCAGACATGTTAGCAGGTATTGGACCCATCGTATGGTGTCAAGCTGTAGACCGAGTAGGATTGAGTAGCCTGTATTTCATGATAAATATTGCGACTTTTCTCGTGTATACTCAGATAATGTCTGCATCAGCACTGTGCCTACTGTCTATAAGCTCTTATGTTGCTATAAGGCATCCTATATTTTTCCACACCCATGCTCACAGTGCAAAACGCGACGCAGGGGTGGCTATTGTTACTTCATGGCTTGTTCTGACCCCGTTAGGTTTTCTGCCCAGCATGGGTTTAAACTGTCTAGACATGCCCGATTTAAAGTGTTTCAACTACTTCCCCCTGTCGATTGTTGCTCTTAGAGTCACCACAATGGTCTTGCTGCTCTGTGTCATGCTGTTCACGAATACAAGTGTATTCTTGGCCATCAAAGAACGGCAAAAGAGAAGGCTTGGGCAGCCACAGGGACAAAACAACGCGTTGCAAGATCATCCTAACGATGCAGCAGAAAGAAAATACCAAAGCAGTGTGCACAAAGCCAGGACTGTTATGATTCAGGTAGTAGCGGCCTTTATCTTTTGGCTGTTACCCTTTATACTCATCCCAGCCTGCCTAAAAACTGGGGAGAAGTGCCCGTTTCATAACGGAATATCTTTGTCTGGGCCATTGCTGATGTCTTTAAACTCGACGATCAATCCAATCGCAAGCATCATCCGCACACCGGACTTACGAAAGAGCCTCCGTGAAGACATGACAACAATCTACCAGGCACTAGTAACCATGGTACGGGGAAACCGCGTGAACCCACAGGAGGAACAAATTCCCCTAAATCAGCGGGGTGGTACCGGTGCTGCTTCCGGGAGTGGACGGACCATGCTAACAGAGCACAACGTGACTCCGTTGAACCAGGCTAGGGCAGGCAGTCTGGCTATCATAGAAATTGACTGAATTGAAACGAAACTATTCATGAACCTTAACACAGTAAGACGAAATGTTGACTTCATGTGGGAAATAGCGGCAAGTAAATGATTTTTTCTATGATCTTAACTAGATGTGATATAAACTGTTGTACCTGATTTTGAATCAAGATAAAATCAACGTAAAAATTAAATATGTTATGACTGCACTGTCAGTATGATAATGTCAGTAGATGCAAATGTATTATCGGTAAATATATATATATATATATATATATATTATATGGTTTGGTGTTGATGTTTGCTCATTAGCAATAAAGATGATGAAAACATTTCAAATGCTCTCAGAGTGTTCTTGATGTATTTCTTCCAGAAATATAATGCAGGTTAAGTAAAACCCATTTCTTTCGGCCCCCATCTCCGATTGATCAGCCAAGTTTGTATTTAAGTGGGTGCATGGTTGGAACGTATACGTAAATCTAACTAGAGTTCCACGACCTCATGCCTTTGCCAAATGATGTTAACCTGTACGACTGACGAATTATGAATGTTTCACATTGATTATGGAAATAAGATCCTCGCTTTTATCTATATCACTTGATTGTATTCTGAACCCAATGAAAGTCTTATCTTGACCAAATAGTTTTTCTAACGTTTCCTCATAAATCATGCAAATAAGGGCATGATTTGAATAGATCACCGTCACTTAACCTCCAAATTCCGATCAGTCATCATTATTGAGTTATAGCATTATCTCATTATTTATGCAAATTAGGTTTTATTGACAGCAAATATGTGACCCTTGCATGTTTAGATCATGAGATTTATAAACCGCCTGTCTGCCGTCTGCCAAGTGAATGAATGAATGAGAATTCACACGCCCATAGCGGTGTGGGCTTATACGACACCATTTAATAATACACTAGAGTTCCACGATCTCACACCTTCGCCAAATGATGTTAACCCTTCCGGTTGACGAATTATACAATTTTAATAATTGATTTCGCAAATAAGAGTGTCATTTGCATGGATTACATCAGTTGATCATATTCTCCACCCAATGACAGCCTTATCTTAACAAAATAGGCTATTCTAGCACTTCCTCATAAATTATGCAAATGAGGTCATAATGTGAATAAATTATCTTCATTGATGTTCACCTTCACTTAACTTCCAAATGCGGCAAGTATAAAATTACCAGCAATTACATCTATGAAATTATAACAATTTCCCATTATTATGCAAATTAGGTCTTCATTTACATAATCTATATCCTCAGATGTTTTTCTCGTTCTCAAGTAGATGTCACAAGTGTTTCATAGTTCTATTATTGAACAAAGCAGATTTATAGAATTTCCTCATTAATTATGCCAATTAAGTCCTGATTTGCATAATTGCCATCTGATTATGTCAAGCATCACTTCAACTACCTACATACCAAAAATCACGACAATACGTCAACCGGTTCTTGAGTTATCGTCTTTCGAATTTTTTTCAACAAATGCTCCTGCAGTTCCAGAACAAGACGCTAGGGGACCCAAACTCATGTCACTTCTTCTCTATCCCAAGAGCTATCTGCCATCCAAAATTCATGACCCTAGCATGTCCAGATCACGAGATATCAAAACCGGAAGTTCTGCTACAGTACCTAGGAAAGCCGCCAGGGGGTCCAAAATCTAATCACTTCTAGGTCTCATGAAGACCTACCCACCTACCAAGTTTCATTCCAATCCATCCACCGCTTCTCGAGTTATCTTGCTAAACCACACACACACAAACACACCCACCCACACACACACACACACACACACACACAGACAAACGCTACTGAAAACATAACCTTCTTGGCGAAGGTAATAACGTATTAGTGATTGGCTTGTCCCAATGACTGGAGTCCAGACAGACTAAGATATTTATGTTTACCGAAACATATTGTTTTTGCTCAGTTTCCTCTTCTTCTTCTCCAAACAGTGACCTCTGACCTGACTGAACCAGATTGTCTCTCACCATGGTAACTGGTGTTGGCTTACATACTTAGTAATGTTACAATTTTATAGTAGGAGGGATTTAGACATAGTCACTGCTTTTGCTCAGTTTCCTCTCCCTCTTCTTCTTCTCCAAACAGTGACCTCTGACCAGACTGAACCAGATTGTCTCTCACCATGGTAACTGGTGTTGGATTACATAATGTTACAATTTTATAGTAGGAGGGATTTAGACATAGTCACTGTTTTTGCTCAGTTTCCTCTTCCTCTTCTTCTCCAAACAGTGACCTCTGACCTGACTGAACCAGATTGTCTCTCACCATGGTAACTGGTGTTGGATTACATAATGTTACAATTTTATAGTAGGAGGGATTTAGACATAGTCACAGTTTTTTGCTCAGTTTCCTCTTCCTCTTCCTCTTCTTCTCCAAACAGTGACCTCTGACCTGACTGAACCAGATTGTCTCTCACCATGGTAACTGGTGTTGGATTACATAATGTTACAATTTTATAGTAGGAGGGATTTAGACATAGTCACTGTTTTTTCTCAGTTTCCCTCTTTCTCTTCTTCTTCTACAAACAGTGACCACTGACCTGACTGAACCAGATTGTCTCTCACCATGGTAACTGGTGTTGGGTTACATAATGTTACAATTCTATAGTAGGAGGGATTTAGACATAGTCACAATAATTTCTCCTCGTCCTCCAGAAAGGCCTTGGAGGGGGTTTTCAGCCCCAAAATTCGAATCGTCAGGGCGACCACACCCGCCAGCAGTTTGAAGAGTTGTCTTAAAGACGTCGCCAGGAAGAAGGAATGTGCTGCGATTACTCCAATACGTCACTACAGCACATGCGCACTGGTTGGAAACAGCGGCATCCTCTTGAATAGCAGTTGTGGTTATGAGATTGACTCACACGACTTTGTTATCAGGTACTACACGATGTAGATTTTTACTTCTGCATGTAGCTGCATATACATATGTAGTTCCTAATATTTAAATCAATACATTTTTAAAGAGACACGAGTCTCATCTGACGTTCTATAGCTGTTATAGGAAAGAAGATATACATATACCTGTGATGTAAATAAAATACATTGTTTCTGGGAGTGTAGTGTACATGGTAGGTGTCTACATGAACCCTTCTATCCCCAGCATCTAAGTGGGCTGGATTTTTACCTTCGCCAAGAAGGTTATGTTTTCAGTAGCGTTTGTTTGTCTGTTTGTCTGTCTGTCTGTTTGTGAACAGCATAACTCAAGAAGCTTAATATGTATTGTCATGAAACTTGGTAGGTGGGTAGGTCTTGATGAGACCTAGAAATGATTAGATTTTGGGCCCCCTGGCAGCTTTTGTTGGTACTGCAGCAGAACTTCCGGTTTTGATATCTCGCGATCTGGACATGCTAGGGTCACGAATTTTGGTTGGTAGATAGCTCTTGAGGTGGGGAAGAAGTGACATGAGTTTGGGCCCCCTAGCGGCTCGTTCTGGAACTGCAGGAGCGTTTGTTGAAAAATTTTTGAAGGATGATAACTCGAGAACCGGTTGACGGATTGTTGTGATTTTTGGTATGTGGGTAGCTGAAGTGATGCTTGACATAATCAAATGACAGTTATGCAAATCAGGAGCTAATTTGCATAATTAATGAGGAAATTCTATACATCTGCTTTGTTCGATAATAGGACCATGAAACACTTGTGACATGTAATTGAGAATTAAAAAAAACATCTGAGGATATAGATTATGTAAATGAAGACCTAATTTGCATAATTAATGGGAAATTTTTATAATTTCATAGTTGTAACTGCTGAGTATTTTTATACTTGTCACATTTGGAAGGTATGTGAAGGCGAACATCAATAAACATAATTTATTCAAATCATGACCTCATTTGCATAATTTATGAGGAAGTGCTATAATAGCCTTTTTGTTAAGATAAGACTGTCATTGGGTGGAGAATATGATCAACTGATATAACCCATGCAAATGAGGATCTTATTTGCAAAATCAATTTTCAAAATTGTATAATTCTTCAACCGCAAGGGTTAACATCATTTGGCGAAGGTATGAGATCGTGGAACTCTTGTTTCTTTATTCCAACATTTCATGACCAAACATGGCGACGGCACACTCAAGTTATATCAACTTATTTTATGCCGCCACCAACACAGAGTACAAATACAGGACAGGACAATACTCATTTACACCTGAGCGAAGTGAGGTAAGTCGTGTTCAGTGCCTTTCCCCAAGGGCACAAGATCGGTGGCATGTCAGGACTCGAACCCGGGACCTCTTGGTTCCGAGTCGCGAACTCTGCCGCTATGCCACGACCCTACAAAGGGTGTAATTGAGTACCTAGCTTCGGTTAGGGACGTCCCTCAGATAGGACGTTAAATGGAGGTCCCGTGTTTGGGAGAGCCACACCCCACGCACGTTAAAGAACCCACCGCACTTATCGAAAAGAGTAGGGGACCTTCCCGGTGTGAGTGGTTCAAACCTTACAGTATGGTCTCGGGGTTGACATCTTTGAAGAGGTGATAGTCACCTGTTACGTCAATCCTTCCACCAGTTCAGTTCAGGTCATCCTCTATTAAGGTGCCATTAAATCCTTCCGCAAATGTGGTAAATAGTCATAAAATAATAGAATAAAAATGAAATGTCTTCAAATACATAGCATTGATCTATTTCTAGATTCAACCTGGGGCCCCTTCAGGACTACTGGAAGGATGTTGGACGACACGTTAACATGACCGTCATTAACAGGGAGATCGTCAGGAAACTGTTTCCCATGTTCAGGAAAAACAAAACCTCCGAACTTCTGAATCTCCTCCGGCCGTTCAACAACTCGGTGTTGCTGCTTTCAAAGGTAAGGCCACACTGGCTTAATTTTATGGATTGAATCCTCTGAAGACCCCCAAACTAGCGCGCGCGGGCGAGTAAAATAAAAATCCGGCCCAAAATAAAAATCCTACTAAACCACAGGAATACAGGGGGAAAGCTGGTATCGTGAATTTGCGGCAAAGCATAGCGGCATATACGACAAGCATGCTGGCTTTTTGCGGAATTTATGAATCGGCACTGTGCGTATGTGCTGAGTGAGGTCTTGAGTCGTGGAGCTTCGGTAGCCTGGATGCCATCCTCCGGATTACCACCGGCCCCGTATTGTCGCTACATAGCAAGCTACCATGGACTACCCAGGCCTAAAGCCAGGCCAGAGCCTCGGATGACGTGATTTTTTTTTGAGAACAGGTAAATATCAATGCGCGCGCGGATGTCATCCATAAATTAATTCGGTGTGGACTGTTTCTTGTCACTCCCGGCCCATCCGCCTGAAGATGATTGGTGTCTCTCTGATGAGAACGCTGTCTAGATCTGTGATCTGCAGCACACAAAGAATGAAATGTCTCAGGCTGGTTTCCTGTACAAAGCTCCTATTTTCTGTTGCATGCTTGTAATCTCCAAGCAGATCATTAAGAAATGAAATACTTTTATTGTACATTCATGCCACGACGGGCTAGGTACAGGTCAAGACACATAACAAACGTATGTAGAAAAGTGGAGACAAAAGATACACTACTTGACTTAGACATACATACATAAGGAACATACAAGGGTACTATACTAGGCTAATACAAAGTGTTCTAGTTACTGAGCTACATGTAATACAGAGTGGTCAACTTCTCGCTTTTATGTACATATGTACAATGGAAAATGTGGGAACAGATCATGTTTGTGATACAGGGTTTGTCTAGACGCATCAAAAATATAAATTCATCGTTTGCATTTATTACGTGTTCAAAGTATAGAAATAAAGGTGTAACCAACCGGCAAGTATACAACAGGCAATCATTAGTGCACTACTCGAAGCGTTTGCCCGTTAGTTACGACTTTGCAAAAACAATAGCTATGTTATCAAAAGCCAATGCAAAAAAGGAAAAAAAGAGTAACAAACGTTGCTTTTGACTAAAATTTTAATTTGGTTGAACACTAACTCATGAAACAACGTTCCAAAGAAAATGTTTCCTTTTCCACATGTAGGGAGGCGGGAATACAAGGTTCTGGAATGAATGTAAATCAATGGAGAACCTCCTGAGAGAGCGGGGCTTGAACCTGACGATTGCCCTGTCAAACTATAATGGAACCAGAACGGATAAGAGGTCAGGACTAAGTCTGTTACCTCCATGAAAAATGGAGGTATTGTTTTTGGCTCGTCTGTGTGTGTGTGTGTGTGTGTGTGTGTGTGTGTGTGTGTTTCCGCACATTTGTAGTCAGCATAACTTTAGAACGCCTTTATGGATTGTGATGATATTTGGTATGCTGGTAGGTCTTAGGAAGCCAAAGGTCAACGTCAAATATGGGCCTCCTGGTTGCTGACCTTGGTACTGCCTCAAACCTTGATTCTTGATTGAGTCTAAACTTCAAGCCAATTCTTATTGAACTATCGCTGTTTCCTCTTGTTTGGTATACTTATTATTTATTTATCATCTGTATTTACAATTTATAGGCCAATCATGTTACATGCCAAGTTGCCAACCCAGCTAGGCTAAGACTAGCCTTGCTTTAATTATTCCTTCAATGGCTATCATAGTGGGCGTAGCGGCAGAGTGCGCGACTCGGAACTAAGAGTCCCGGGTTGGAGTCCTGACATGCCACCAATCTTGTGCCCTTGGGATAGGCACTTTACACGGCTTTCCTCACTTAGCTCAGGTGTAAATGAGTATTGTCCTGTCATGTATTTGTCCCATGTGTTGGTGGCGGCATTAATATAAGCGAAAAACTTGAGTGTGTCGTCACCACGTCTGGTGATTACATGTTGGAATTTAAAAAATGGCTATAATATAATAAGGATACAGTCCTTTAGAGTCCAGGAGTCACTGCTAACACTTACGCCTTTCTTCCACCAACAGGTTATGGTCTGGTCTTGGCGCGAAACTCAACTCCGTTACAACCACCGGTCTGCTCCTTCTGGGGGAGGCGATAACGTTCTGCGATCACGTCACGATGTTCGGTTTCTACCCGTTCAACAAGGACCCTCAGAACCGCACGATTCCCTACCACTACTGGAGAGACTTCATAGCACTTCCCTCCAAAACACCTCACAAATTTGTGTCTGAGTATAAGCTACTTGTAGAATTAGACAAGGAGGGGATTATAAATCACTCAGTGGACTGTAATGCCATGCATTGAAGGGACCACAGAACATATGAGAATGAACAAGACGGCATCTTTTCAGACGTATTTAAGCATACCTTAAAGCATGCGTAAAGGTTTCGTCTTTTTTAGGCGATTAAAACCTTTTAATATACATATCATATACAGTTATGTTTACCGAAGGAAAACATATTGTTTTTGCTACGCTTCTTCTTCTTCCGTTCCAAACACTAACCTCTGACCTGGCCAATGACATGACTTGTTGATGCCTGTCACCGTGGTAACTGGTGTTGGGTTACATAATGTTGCAATTTAGTAGGAGGGATTTAGACTCCTGACTGACCTTATACGTATATGAATGTATTTGAGTAAGAATTAACAGAGCAGATCATATGCTTCGCAAATATTACCTTTCTAGTTTCTTTTACTTTCTTCTTTATGCATACTTTAAGGCGTGTGAAAGTCAGTTAGTTATAGAAACATTGTACACAGGATATTAAGTGCTAGATTAGAAAAGATATAACTAATAGACCTTGGCAAATCAGGGAACATTGAAACTTTATTAGAAACTTGTTGTGGCGTAAAACATGGGTAAATGGATATACATTCTTGAACATGTACAGCAACGTATTTACTGGAGACCATATTTAAAAAAAAAAAAACAAGTGAAATTAGAAATGGATAAGAGTCAGCCACATACAGCAGTCAATATAAAGGAGATCGTGTTAAAAAACCTCATGAAGTGAGGGATCCCTCAGTTAGAGGGATCCTGGGCCCCACTAAAGGGTTTGGGTTGGCGTTAGGAAGAGCATCCAGCCGTAAAAATCTTGCTTAAAAAAAAGACTTGTACCTGGTGCAAGCACGTCTAACCTCCGGTTGGGGAAAAACGACGTTAAATTCGGTTTAAAAAAGTGACTGGTACATATGACGCAACAGGCAATCACTTTGTTCTGTAATGTAAACAGCTGAAAAAAACTTCTTTGTTTGACTTCGAAAATTCGAGGACAATAATATAAGTTGCAACAATATAAGTTGCAACTAGTCCTGTCTATGTCAATGGCAACAAAAAGAACTTTTTTAATTTTTTTTTGTTTGGTAAGAAAAACAAACATTTTAGCTTTAAAACAAAACTAAGATACCCGGGCTACTCTGTTTGTCCTTAGCGTAATCAGAACTTATACGCTTCGACAAAAACAGGTTGATGGAGATGTTGCAAAGTTCAACCTTGTTCATGTTTTCCCGGGGATGTTGCGGTGGACCTTCTGGTTCACTTACAGTCCCGCCGCCCTTCTGGCTGCCACAATCATCGCCAGCCAGTTTCGGGCCTTGCGGCTCCCTTCCCATATTAATGTCGCCTGGTTCGTGCCTGGAACTGGCAACAGGATGGGGGTAAGACCGACTACTAACAATACAGCATCGTCAGCTGAATGTTAAAAGCTGTCAACTGGATTAAGTACACCAGCAAGACCGTAACATACATAACATCGTCAACTGAGAGTAATTTTAGTGAGAGCAAAATGTTTTTGCTCAATACAGACGCGGGATTGACCGCATAAATTCACACGGTAGGTGGACAAGAGTGCCCGGTTGCTGACTAACAGCCGATACATGTGTGAAACAGAGTACGTTTATCTGTAACAGGTTTTCCACGGCATTTGCTGCATGCATCACAGCTGCATACAAGCTCGGACAAAACGAAATCGGAACTATAAAAACTCACGGGGACTCACGCCGGGAGGGCGCAATTTATAAAGGGATTTGTGGTACAAGTAGAAAAATAAGCACGCAAACACGGACATAAACAATAATGATAGCTTATGAACAACTGGAAGAATAACAGAACGTCCTTAATCAACTTAATCAACTTAATCCACAAGGCTGGCGACAGAGCCCTTCCAAATAATTACCGACCAGTTAGCATCTTACCAACTGGTTCAAAAATCCTTGAGAGAGCTGTACATACTCAGCTCTACGATTATCTTACCGAAAATAACATTCTCTCTGATAGGCAGTCTGGTTTCCGACCAAAACACTCTACGCAGTCCGCTGCACATTTATTGGTTGAGAAATGGTTCGCCGCCATGAACGCTGGAGACTTAACAGGGGCTGTCTTTATTGACCTATCTAAGGCGTTCGATACTCTTGATCATGCTATCCTTCTTCAAAAAATGTTCAAGTACGGTATCCAGGGTGGAGCCCTTGACTGGTTCACTTCTTACCTCACTGGAAGACAGCATTGCACCGCTGTAAATGGTGTCACTTCTGACTTTCACACGGTTAAGTATGGTGTGCCCCAAGGGTCAATTTTAGGACCACTACTTTTCATTATTTATGTAAACGATATGCCAAATTGTATTCAAAGTTGTAGCATCTCAATGTATGCCGATGATACGGTCATTTATGTCAGCAGCAAGGATGTTGATACCATTGAGACTGTCCTACAAGAAGATCTCGAAAGGCTGTCTCAATGGTTTGCTGTGAACTCTCTGTCTGTGAATGGAGGTAAATGTAAGTGCATGTTGCTGGGTACAGACAAAAGACTGAAAAACAGTAACAACCCCAGCTTGGTTATTAATGCTCAACCTGTAACCATGTGTAACATATATAAGTACTTAGGTATATACATTGACAATAATCTGAACTGGAAAGGGCATGTTAAACACGTACTGGGTAAGCTAAGACGATCCCTAAGTATCATGAAGCACGTCAGTCCCTTCATATCCACATTAGCACTACGTACTTTGTACAACAGTATTTTTCTACCATATGTAACCTACACAAGTACTGTTTGGGACACTGCACCATTGCAAGAGCTACAGAAACTTCAACGGATGCAGAACAGGGCTGGGAGGCTGCTGCTGGGAGCCCCGCACAGAACGCCGTCGGCTGAAGTACGGACTCGACTGGGATGGAAGGACATCAAATCCCATACACAGAGACCAGAAATCCCTGCTAACTTATAAAAGCCTTAATAACTGTTTGCCAGCCTACATGAGAGAACTGTTTACATACTGTAGTGATAGGGCAGTAAGAACCACGCGGCAAAGTGTATCTGACCTTTTGTATGTGCCAAGGGTTCGTCGGGAAGTGTACAGAAGATCAATTTCCTACTCAGGATCGGTACTGTGGAATAACTTGTCAACTGAGTTAAGAACGGCTTCGTCAGTTGCAGCGTTTAAAAACCGGCTGCGTCAAGTCACAAGTTAGAAATTAGAATGACTAAATTTGTGAAGTGAATTTTGGATGTTTGAAACTGATGAGTTATACGAACAGAGATAGTGTTTGGTTATTGTATAACGTTACTGTGTATATATTTATATTGTAATTATACGCCGAATTGTAACTGAACTGAAGAAGAATATGCAAAGACCCCTGACCTGCCTCCCCTTGACCTCTTGAAAAACGGCTTAGGCCGAAGAGTTTGTACTGCTACGAAATTGTACTGTACATTTTCAAGGTTAAATAAAGGTTGAAAAAAAAAAAAAAAAACTTGAAAGTGCATGCAATGTCACAAATTCAGTTTCACATGTAAAACAAGGAGTCTTTATCAAGCAGACATCAACTCAGTTTGCTGCTTAGATTTCCCGAGCTGAGTTTGACGGAGGTGTTCGAAATAGAACAGTGGATTCGATGCGTTCGATCTGGAACGGCCCAGAGCAGACCATATGCAAAGGTAAACGTTATGCATTTGCTTTGCAAATGTTACTTTTCCGATTTGTTATTCAAATTTACTCCCCGAAAAAAAAAACACTTGTTACAAATACGTGGGGACACTACTGGACGAACCACACGGTCCAGCAATCTATTTGACTGTGTCAAGGCTAGAACTGAACGCTATAAGAATAGTAGTATCCCATCGCTTTTAAATCATGTATGAGCACATGAATTGTTATGGCACAACACAGTATTAGCCCTATGGGGATTTCTATAGTTAAGGACCCCAAAGTGACTCACTTCGACTCACGGAAAATCATACTAGGGTGCACAAGCAAGGTTCAGAATTTTGATATGTTTAATTTCAGGGTAGAGTGTACAAAATATGTGAAAATGAGCTTGAATTTGCCGGCTAGTTCTCTTCTCGCGCCCTCTTTTATTAGCGCCACTGCGGAGGTCATGGAACTGCAGCCGACGCACAGTACTAGGCGGGACAAGTATCCAAGCGCAAATCTACGCCGACTCAACACGCACCATAATCCAACTTTTACAGTCTCAAAACTGACGTATTCCTCTAACATTTACCACAGGTTCTGTCTCGATGCCATGCACAAAACAATCTCTGCACCCTTCCCTAGCACTACTTTGTGCCCGGACTACTTACGGGTTCGCCCATGAATACTGTGTTGTGCGGCCTTATCTCCCTCACCCACCACGCATGCGCAAGGAAAGCCTCGATTTCAGGTACTTGGACGAGTCCAACTTTGGGGCGGGGGTGTATTATTAATCTCCAAGCAGATCATACGAAGGCAAGCCAGTATCCATTGGCCAGAGCCGTGTCTATAGATAGTGGCTGATGGACACTCCACTGGCCAATGGATACTGCCTTGACACCGTATGATCTGCTTGGATATGAGGGGTGTGTTACTTATGACAGAAGCCCCACTATGGCCATATTGATTTGATTACATGGATGGCATCGTCTGGGAACCCCAAAACAGGCTGATGCGAGCGTGCGAATAAAAAAGACTTGTCCGAAATAATTGCCTTCATTATAAAATCTACGTGGCTATAAATGTTGAACAAATGAGTAAACACACCGAGTATGGTATGGTGATCAAGAGCCACAATTTCATAGACTCTACCAGGCGTCGGTTGGCACCTGAAAAGAAAAAAAAACCTCCAAATAGAGAGATAACATGCCAGGGGAGTTAGTCCGCTAGAGATTGCATTTTGTACATACTCTCATGTATTCTCTGTGCAAAATGTACTCTCTAGCGGAAAACTCTCCTGGCTTTTTATCTCTCAATTTCTAGAGACGCCTCCCGAAGCCTGGTAGAGGCTAACGATTTCATGCCTTCGTTATGTCTACTGCAATCTTGTAGAATTGCTTCAATCAATCGAGCGAGATGTTGATAAAGATCAGTCATATAATTTGTTAATATGCGAAGTAATATACAATATACATATACCTTTCTCTCTATATATACACGTATGTATGTATGTGTATATGGGTATGTACTCTGTATCTACGTATCTATTACATATGGAAAACAAAATGCAAAGTTGCAGTTTAATCTATTAACTAGAATTCCGAGATCTCATACCTCCATGAAATATGATCTTGATATGTAAATGTAAATTTCTTCTTTAATTGTTCAAATGACCTCTGCATTAACATGATATATGCATCGTGATGTATGTTAACTTTTGATTAACTTACAGATGTCCCAAGTATGGCATTCTCATCATTCACCATTACGAAATCATAGAATTTTCACATTAATTATGCAAATTAGGTCATCATTTGCATAATTAGTATCTGTTGAAGTTCCGCCTGCCATAGGCTACATAGTATAATGTAAAACACTGTAATTATAGAATTTCCTCATTAATTATGCAAATAAAGTCCTCATTTGCATAATTTGCATTTAGTTATGTACATCTCTCTCTCAGCTACCTACACACCAAAAATAATGAAAATATGTTGTTCCTGTCTGGACTTATTGGCTTTTAAACATTTCGCCAGAAAGTGCCCTGCAGTTCCAGAACAAGCCGCTAGGGGGCCCAAACTCATATGACTTCTTCCCAAGCACGAGAGCTACCTTCCATCAAAATTTCATGACCCTAGCTTGTCCAGATCGCGAGATAATGTAAAACACTGTAATTATAAAATTTCCTCATTAATTATGCAAATAAAGTCCTCATTTGCATAATTTGCATTTAGTTATGTACATCTCTCTCTCAGCTACCTACACACCAAAAATAATGAAAATATGTTGTTCCTGTCTGGACTTATTGGCTTTTAAACATTTCGCCAGAAAGTGCCCTGCAGTTCCAGAACAAGCCGCTAGGGGGCCCAAACTCATATGACTTCTTCCCAAGCACGAGAGCTACCTTCCATCAAAATTTCATGACCCTAGCATGTCCAGATCGCGAGATATCAAAACCGGAAGTTGCGCTGCAGTACCAAGGGAAGCCACTAGGGGGACCAAAATCTCATCATTTCCAGTTTTTGTCACACCCTACCAACACACCAAGTATGAAACCAATCCATCCAGGCGTTCTTGAGTTATCTTGTTGACCAACAGACAGACAGAAGGACGGACGGACGGACGGACGGACAGATAAACGCAACTGAAAATATAACCTCCATGACACATTTCATGGAGGTAATAATTCATGGTATTCACCAACTCACTTTACCGCAGTAACACTATACAACACCACACAATTTTCTTAGCCACCTTACAGCGCTAACGGTACAACTGAACGCAATACATGTACTTGCAAAGTGGGGGCAATAGTACATGGCAACAGGGTAGGGTGAGCGAATATTTTATTTTAATTCAATTGCAACAAGGCAATACACTGGTCACCCAGGCAGCATAAAAATAATATAAAGATAACGAACTACGTATACACCGTAGTGCATGTTAGGTATAATGGAAACAATCAAAACGTTACTTGTCTAGACTAGAATCATTTTGAAGGACTACAAATTAAGCCCTTATTTGCATAATTGGTACCTGTTGATATTCCTACTGCCCTTTATCACACAGTATGTTACATGTAATGAAGTCCTAACATGGAGAACAGTGGAATCATAATCTGATCCTACTCACAGATCATGCAAATCAAGTCTTAACTTCTTTTAATGGCAACTAATTGTGTACATCTCTGTCGAAGCATGGTCGAAGCTTTCAACAATTACATGGCATGCCCAAAATCATGAAAACCCATAGTTCATGTCTTGACTTATCCTCTCTGAATCCTACACCACGTCCATGACGCTAAACACCTACCCAAAAATCAATATAGACAACATATATGAAGCTATTTCGCTTGGGTGCGCTGCACTATACATTGTCTTGTTTAAATGTTGACATAAAGGTACAGATATTCAAAGCGAATTCATATCAAATCATTTAATTTGAGTAATGGGAATGTTGTGCAATGGAAATGTCTGTCACTGTTGCTTTACACATTAGAGATGAAATAGCACGTCGTGATTACCTTTCTCTCACGAGAACCACATTTCTGTACTTCGAAATATCCCTCAAGCTGGTATGTGTTACCGTCAATCTCGAATGGACCAGTCCAATGCACATCTTCATTATACTGCAAATGATCCAGATTTGCACTGTCTTTGAGATAATTTTGAAAGGCCTCCTTAAGTGTTTCCTTCAGTTTCTGATCAGTCCAAATCTCTGGGTTATACACCGTTTTAAACACAGGAGAAAATTTGCATTTGATACAGTTACTCCGAGGACGTTTAACTCTTGGCAAGTCAGATTCTCCGCATCTAGGTTGTTGATCCCCTGCGGCGGCTGCACCTCCATCGTCATTCGACGCGGCGTCATTATCGTTAACCCCATTATCCTTAAGCATGGCTTCTTCGTCGCTTTCTACTTCACTCGGGTCTCCCTGTCGCTTCCTGGTCTTCATAGGCTTGCCCTTCTTACTTATCGGTTGCTTTTTTTGTTTCTTGTGCTTCACATCCGGTATTTGTATGCCATCTCTCCAGGACAGGTAGACACCATAGACTCCTGGTGGAAGACCGTCTTTGGGCCCGGGAAGGCACTCCACTTCAGCAAGGACGACACCGTCGGCTACGGCCGCAAGCATACAAGAAAGACAATGGCAGCCATCGATCCTTGGATTGTTTCCGGCATCGTTGTACATCCAACCATGCATGTGCCTTATGGCCTCGTCGTAATCTATATCATCGTCATCCATACCCCTGCAAAAATACAAGAAACAAATATTGAGTCGAGTTTTCTTCATGCTCCATGTATAAATGGTAGGGTAGGGGTGAGGATAGTGGCACTGAATGGAAAAGAAAGAACAACAGTTAGGGAGATGTATCGTACAGTTTTAAGTAAAACTGCAGTAGAGCTAGAGCCTAGATGCACCTGTATTCTACTGGAATTAGAGTTTGACTTTTATTTGGCCCGCTGGTAGAGTGACACCATATATCATTGTTCATTTGAGAAAGTTTAAATTTACAGTATGTGTTGATCTTGTTCTGCAACTCGTAAGCATGTCTCAAAACTCTACATATTCGGGGTATGGCTTGTATACTGTCAAATTGTCAATTGTGCAGTCCAATTACTTTTTTGATGCCGTTTATAGGCCTTTGATGCCCCTGGCCCTAATGAAGGCCATCAGCGCCAGTACTATGAGGATTCTACGAATACGAAGACGTTTCTTAGATTTTACTCGCACACACGATTTCTTTAAGGAAATGTATAAACGTGTATACGTGTATATAGCAATATCAAAAAAGCCTTTACAATGGAAAAGAATATCCTTGGCAGAGTTTATCTATTTTTTACCAAAATACACCTCGCACGCAAAACAAATTAAACACGTTGAAGCCAGGCCGGGTCGCATGCAAAATACGTTTGACCAAGGAGGTTTAAATCGATTTTAAACCTCCTTGGTTTAACAGATCAGATTGTACATCATGTATTTTAACATACATGATGAATACGACATTTGGGTATTTTGATGTCTAGTGATTCGTTGCATGCCCAAGTGTCTCAGATTCGCAACCTGTTATCCTTAAATAATTAAATTCATGCGAAGGCCACCGTGTCAACTGTGACCCTTACTCAGGTGTAAGCACTGACACGGTCATCCTACTCGGAAAATCTGTATATCTGTACATGAATCTGTATCTGTGCATGAATATTTACATGAATCTGTATCTGATTGCAAATAAAGATCTCAGTGTGTGTGATTGCCATAAATAGATAGAGATCCGTTGCATTCACCGTTGTGACGACTCTAAGCGGACGTTGTATACAGTGCGGGTCTGATTATTTAGTACAGAGTCGTACTTTTGTACAGATTCACCTCTCAAAACTCAGAGCCTTTTACTTTCAAATAGTCATAATAGAGGGAACATTTCAATAACATCAATGTAATGGGACTTACCAACAATGTTTACAACCAAACTACATGACATACCTTAAGTCGTTGATTAAAAAAACTGTTGTGCTTCTTAACAGGCGTCTGGTCACGAATTTTACCTGGCCGCGACGAATCTTTGTACCACAGGGAACAAAAGGAACTTGGCTTTACGTGTATGAGGGTCAATAGGAACGCGGTGTTACCTTAGCCACTGTGTTTACCTTAGTCACACTGCACCTACAACGATCAATAAAAATTCACCGGGTGTTAAGTAGTTGAATAGGATTATTTGTTTTATGAATGCACGTGATACCCTGTAACTTGATCATGTGAACCATTCCATTGTCAGGAGCTATGGTAACAGCTCGCCTGGGGTGGGAGTGGGGGCTATTTTTATAGATGTTTACCACCTGAGGCGGAAAATGGCGCAGCTAAGCTTGTCACAGAATGGTACTCCCAGCGGTAGATAAGCAGTCGTAATGCCCTCATGACGTCCGGCAGAGGCAATACATGAAAGGGTAAAAAGCCATGGCTTGATTATTGTTACTCATTATCTTCTATTTTGGGGCTTAAACGTGAATTTCGAGCGTCAGCCATGGCATCCGGCAGCACTACAGGTCAAAAGAAGGAGTTGGAAGACCCCGAATGGCTAGAGAACTTCGTCTGTAGCTGGACCGAGAAAGGAAAGCTGAAAGCGTCTGGATTTCCAGAGGACATGTATCCTAGTTTGAGACTATACATGGCAGCAATATGGCCAAGACAGTGGCCAAGAGCTCTAGAAATGATTATGGATCAGCAGAACCATACGTTCATCGGAGATGCCTCAATTTCCTTCTCATCAAACGAAGGTGAAGAGCAGGACGTCAAAGAAACCATGGCCAGTTGTACATTTTGCACAGGTCCGTTCCCATTAGCCACTGTGCCAATGTATCAGTTTCTGATGACACTTTGGAAAGCTTTAGAGCAACGACCAGAAGGATTTCTTACAAATGAAGAGGACAAGACCCTCTTAAATCGCTTCCACGAACACGTGAAGAACGTTTGCAGTCTCGCAGCTTCAAAAGTACCACAAAAAGACACAGAGGGGAAGACAGAAGACGAACCACTTAAAGACACAAAGGGGAAGACAGAAGACGAACCACTTAAAGGCACAAAGAGGAAGACAGAAGACTCAAAGAAGTTATTGGCAGGTAACCGTGTTCATTAATATTTAGATCTTCACACGTAGTCTTGCACGAGGTAATTTTGTCCTGCAAAGAATGAAACACTTGGCTTTGAAAAATTACCTCACACTATTCATTATTAAGAGCCTTTGTAAATTTTTGTTTAAATAAATCAATTTAATTTTTCCTCCTGTATTAAGAAGATTTTATCCGAGATTTGTGGTACATGTACCACTATCCCCTAGAGTGTGGTTGACGAAAACAGCAACGAAACGTGTGAAAGTTTACCTTTTTCTTCTTCTTCCCAGTTCGTGCAAACCTCAATAGGTTGAGGGCTCCAGCACGGTGGGGGGTGGGGGTATTATTGGATGGGGTGGTCGCTCGTATGTACAAGTTTTGTGTGTGCACGTTGTGGTCTATAGCTCCTCAATTGGCAGGGGCGCCACTCCCTGTCCGCCACCTAGAGCAGGGTGGCGGTTAGTACCCGTGACTGTTGTTCAGAACTACGCCGGTGTTAATGGCATGCTTGAAGGCCTGTAATGTCTTGGCTTTAACAATATTTTCTGGTAGACGGTTCCTCTACCTAACTGTTCTAGAGAAAAAGGAGTTCAGATGGTAATCAACTCGTGAAGCTGGTGGGTAAAAGGCTAAACTGTTTTCGGTGTGAGAGGGGGCTAGTAATCCCTTGCTGGCAGTGGCATATTAGCTAGAATATTATTTGTGATTTTATAAAACATATGTAGGCGAGCATTGCGTCTCCTTTCTACTTTCTGCTAAACATGAGTACGACATAAAACAACACCAAAACGGGAGATCATGTGTGTATTTCCCTGACATGTCTGTACTACAGGAGAGTATAAAACCTCTATTTCCGACAGAAAGTCGTTCGAGAACTCTGTGTTACTAAGATAAAACACACTAGAAAGCACAACGAAATTTCTGGTACGAGTATGCTCCAATAAAAAAAGAAATTCCAAGACAAAATCACACAGCTGAAAATACAACAACTGTAAACTAAAAAAAACCAGAGTGGCGAGCAAAAAGCAGTCTCAAACTAGAGTTTGGCGATCTCATACCTCCATGATATGTTTAGTGCTTTTGTAAATTTTATGGTGATGACCACCTGTAAATGCCTTACATTTAAAATCATGCTCATTAGCAAAATTTGTAGGCAAATTATATACATAGCCCCTACCTGGTGACATGTAACACACTAGTGAAATCTTTATCATTTGTGCTTAACATAAGTCTTAGGAAGACGGAGATCAAGGTCAAATATGGGCCTCCTGGTGGATGACCTTGGTACTGCAGCAGAACTTCCGGTTTTTGTATCTTTTGTCCTGAACATGCAATGGTCTTGATTTTTTTGGTGACAGATTGCTTTTCCTGTCAGGAATAAGTGGCGTAAGTTTGGTCCCCCTAGCAGCTTGTTCTGGAACTGCAGGGGACTTTCTGGTGAAATCTTTAAAAGCCAATAAGTCCAGATTGGAACAACGTATTTTCATCATTTTTAGTGTTTAGGTAGCTGACAGAGATTTGTACATAGCTAAATGCAAATAATGCAAATGAAGACTTAATTTGCATAATTAAGGAGGAAGTTCTATAATTACAGTGTTTTATATAATAGTACTTTTATACATGTAATGTAATGTGTGGCAGGCGGAACATCAACATATACTAATTATGCAAATGATGACCTAATTTGCATAATCAATGTGAAAATTAGAAGTAGAAGTAGAAGTAAAACTTAATGTTAGCACTATGCATAATTTGTTTGCTAGTAGCTATAGCTCTCGGGCATGAACATGGAATAAAAGAACTTTCATTAATCCCCAAGTTTAACCTCTGATCGGAGAGTAGCTTCGCGACTCCTCCACCCATCTTGTAAATTTGATTATACGATAATAAACTTTTTATGAAATATTTTATAAATATCATATCCCATTTATGATCATTGTTATAGCTTGGAACATACGTTAAAGCAGTGTGTTTGACAATTAGAAGTACTGTAATTTCTCATGATTGCTAATATTGTTTCCCTCAGAGCCACAGCCAACCTCGTGCCTTTCTATTGATGAAGTTACCAGTGACTCTGTTAAGGTATCATGGCAACCTCCGGAAGACCCAACGGGAATCATCGGATACAGGTTGTATTATAGTGCAGGTAGCCCGACCCTGCCATGGGTTGCAAAAGAGAAAAGCAAACCTCTTGATGTTTGGAGTAAAGAAGGACAGAAAGCGCCCTATTCACGCGTATTAGACACATTAATGCCGAACACGAAGTACGACATCACCGTCTGGTCAATGGGTGGCTCTCGGGACGACCCAGTGCTGAGCTCACCCACGTCCGTATCTGTTACAACAGGTCAGTGAAGAGCGTTTCGTTTCCATGTCCAGTCCAGTCTTTCCAATACTTAAGCTAGGTAATATGATAATTTAACCGAATAAATATCATTATTAGTACCATCGCGGCTACGGCGAGACTATTATGATGATCATACTAGACGTGTGTGAAAGTTTATGAAAATGACGAGTTCTCTGATTTACAGACCAGCTGCGTTTTAAGATGCATGCATATGTGTATATATCCTGATTGTTTTCAATATTCCCGTTATCGAGAGCTGTGCCTATATATACCTCTGCAAAGTATAGTAATGTCAGTTCTTATATTTTTATTTTCAGAAATTCCAACGGTGACTGGTCTCCATGTGACTGCCTATGACACAACATCGATCTCAATCAGTTGGACGGCTGTAACAGGTATCAGTTGTCAATTGATGTATACGCATTCTGAAGAAAACAAACAGCTTGAAAAGCTTAAGTGACCTAGTCCCTCCTCTCTTGGTTCGTTAGCACAAAATCATTACACGCGTAGACACCGTTCATATCAGAAGACCAATTAGCATGGCACATATAGTTGGAGCATATCAATGATACAGCTACATGTACAACGGGAGGAACGAATAAAGAGACTTTTTACACAACCAAGTGTTTTATTCAGCCGACGTTTCAATGACTGTCTGTCAACTTCCTCGGAGTAATTCTGAGGAAGGTAATAATCGGTGTAAAAAGAGCCTCTTTATTTGTTTATTTACCAACCTGATGAAGCTATTACAAACGATTTATATCACAATGAATAAGATTTTGTTCAATCGCTACATATTTGTTTCACACTCAGCATGGCGGGCTTGGCCTATTCCTGAAATTCGTGTCTACATTTCGGCACCTGATTGTCCGGATGAAACAACGAAATTACCAGGTGAAACAAGCACCACAAGATTTGAGAATCTTCACCCTGCGACCCTGTACACCATCCACGTTGCTGCGTTAGGATTTTGGGGAAAAGAAGGAAAGCCGACGACAGTAACGTGTCCGACAAGTTAGTAATCAAATGCAATAGGACAGAGATTTTACTTAATCCCTTCTTCATTCTGAATGCCTTTCTGCCTTAAGGGGGCACACCCCAGTTTATTTGGGGCCTCTATTCGAAGCTGCACACCCTCAAATCTAGCGACCGTCTCTGGCGTGGAATAATTCGGAAGGAGAATAACTGTATATGGGACGAAAGGATATCTCTTCAGCTACAAGACCAGCTGAGTTTGGTTTCTTCAACCTTATTAAGTTTGGTAAAATCAACGGAAAAAACATTATTTTCACTCGAAAATTAATGCCCAAAATTGCGAATTTTCGCGTAGGATAATCCCACAAAAAAAAAATTTTCCGGCAGAAATGACTGATGCTGGCAGAAAGACCCAAGCCTTGACTATACCCGAGTAAATTATAAAGAAAATTCTAGTACTGTAATTTTCTAAACAGTCCACGGCGCGAGGGGTTGCAAATCCACCCCTACGAAGCCGCAGAGCGAAAACTAGGTCAAACGGGCGGATTACACTTGGCGCGCAAGGATACCCGGAAGTAAGGTTCGGAGCCAAAAGAA